TCCAATCAACCATCGAACACACTCACCATCATCGTTTACTGCAGACTCGTGCTGGGCATAGACCGCTGCCTGGTGGCTGGAGAAAAGGCGCACCCAGTTGCAACGCTCGCTCATATCATCGTTGTAGTACAACATATGAACTCCATCAACTGTCCCTAGTGATGTTCTTGTCAAGCGTATAGGAACGACGCCCACGGTCACGTGAATCGTTGGCTGTGGTGCTGGGTAATATGGATCACCTCGCCCTCCCCAATGTTGCACTTCAGCTTCATCAGTGGATTCAAATCTCACCTTCTGAAATACTTTGAGCCTGTGGTATCCTCTATGCGCCTGATCCCGTTCTATAAGTAGATCTTCCTGCCGTCGAAGGTGTGCCTCTGCCTCGCCAAGTAGAGGTGCATGTTGTTCAAGCCATAACAGACAACGGTTCCCAACTTTACGCGAATGCTTAATAACCAATGACCGATTGCCAAACATCTTGCCACATGCTCCGCATTGGTTGCCCCACGCCGCCTTCGGCGCCAGGTCGATGGGGTTATGTTCAAGTTGATGTCGGCGCCATGCTGCAACAGTCATCACCGTCTCGCCACGTGTGTAACAAAGATTTTTCAGCTGAGGGCCTTCAAGAGGATGTTCAGGTTGAGCTTGCCCAATTCGCCGTAGCCATCCCTGATGTGACAATCGGTCGAGCTCCAGTGGCAGCCAGTGTTTCCATACACGGTTGACAAGTATCTTGAACTTGTGGGGGGGCATCGGACGCGAACTCGAACCACTGCCGTAGAGCCCAGTCTTCAGTCCCACCTTTGATATTGAAATTGCCCAGCCAACGAAAGTCCTCGGGTAGTAAAGATGTCCAAGAATCATGTTGCACTGCCATCATATCGACCAGAAAGAAACCGCTGGCGGTGCCGCAGTGAACAATGTTCCAAAACATATGAGCCGCCTCCTTCTGATGACGTGCTCAATTCCGACGCGCTTTACCATCCACAGTATCTCGGCGTCCAGTGTGTAGTCACTCGTCTCGACGTGGTGCTGCTTCCCAATCACCGTACGGTACGAACGGAGCCTAGGAGCCTCCAGGGCCTTCCTCTGCGCTTGCCGCATACCGTGCCAGACTTCAGTTAGATGTAGAAGATGAACGTTAGCAAGGACATCGCATATATTTACCTTGGCCGCTGGAGGCAACCGATGCAGGCGCGCCGTCATCCTTCGAATCGGATCCAGGGCTGACTTCTGTTTGCTCGTAGCCAACGCCATGCGTGGCCCGAGCGGCGCCTTCTCGTTCACCATGGTCCCAAGGTACTTGTAGCCCCTCACAAGATGAGCTTCAACCTGCCATTCTGGCGTCACGATCTTGGCATGAGGAAAGCTTTGCAAGCGAAGGGTGAGATTTCGAACACCAGAACCAGCTGGAATGATCATAGCACTGCTCTTGTGTCGCTGGCAATGAGCCGTGAAGCCGTGGGTGGCCATGTGCTTGTGGACGCAGTCGGCCGCTAGGCCCGCTGTGTTGACAGCCTCGCCCGTAGAACGTGGTGTGAGTAAATATAGTCCGTCGTCCACAGAGGAAACGTCCAGAAGCGCAGGTACTGCCAACCCTGATGAAATTGTCTCACTGCCAGCAGGGGCGTGGAGATCGAGAGATAGACCATGCTGGCGCAGTTCCATTTCGATGGCCTTCAGTGGTTTGACAAAAGAGATATTGACAATCGCATCGGCCAGCGAACTGCCTGGTCTCGGTCCCCGACGGGACCTTGCAACATCTTGGTTCTCTTGCCTCGCCGTACCAAAATGAGTGTCTCGATGGCCCTCAATCAGGAGTGCTAGGAGATGTGGCTGGTCCTCCAGCTCTGCTAGTGCCCCTGGCTGTGAGAGGATGACCTCGAAGATCGGAAGCAAGACGATGAGGATGTCATGGTTGTGTAGAATATATTCTCTGTCATCTTCGCCGTTGCACGTTGGTAGTACCAAAGAACGAATGGTATAATACAATGCCGCCTTCAGGTCGATGAAATACAAAATCGCCGTCTTCCCAACTGTCTTACAAGCTTGTATACAAGTAGTCATCAAGTGAAGCAACTGCGCTGGCCCCCTCTGTGATCTGCCACCGCACTGTGTATCCTTTAACATAAGGTGCAGATAGCGAGCCAGATGATCCCGAAGTAAGCGGTGCCAACACTTGCTGATGATCCCATTGGGAAGGATTGATCGGTAGTTGTCCAGGCAAGTTGGTGTACCTTTCCATTTGAAGAGGGGGAAAACGGCGCCGTGCTTCCAAGCCAATGCCTCTTGTTAGCGCATGCTCGTCTTGACGAAGATTGGGGCATAGTGCCGAGCCAAAGCCGCAGGGTGCGCTGTCAACAAATCGCCCGATATCTGATATTGGCCTGGGGCCTTTCGACGCTTTACCCCTCGAAAGAGCCTGCCGACTCTGAAGGGGGCAGGAACGAGGTCAACCTGGAAGTTGTCGATCAGCAGGCTATGGTTCAGCCTCTTGTTGTACATCTCTGCTAGGTGAGTCGTTTGCATCACCTCCGCGTCCTCAGTCAGAGCGAAATGTTGAATGATCGCAGCCGCTTCTTGCTTATCATTCTCGAGTAACTGGCCTTTGCTGTCCGTCAGTTGAACGCTTCTGTTGGTCCTTCCTGGTCGGCCACCGTAACGAAGTAGTACCTTCAAGAGACGCCATTCATGGTGAGAGTCCCCGCGCTTGGCGCTTGGCACGCTCCTCCATCTCTGCACCAATACGCTCAAGATGTTGCGCTCGGCCCTGGCGAATGGCAGCCTTCACAAGCTTGCCCGTTTTGTACAGAAAATCTCGCATAGAGCCAACGAACTCTGCATCCGTCACCCTTGGGTCATGTTTCTTGGTGCAGCAGAGCAAACGCAGACAGCGAACCTCCAGTGCCCATGGCTTGTCATCAGCTGGATGAAATAGTGGGTCGTCAAGATGAGTAAGTAACAATGCCCATGGTGCTGTAGTGGTGCTGTTGCTTGGTGTTCTTGTGGCCTTAGCCGCATATCGACGTAGTCGTGCCAATTCCATCGCCGAGGTCGTAATATATGGCTGGATCGGCGTAAGCCGTCCCGCTCCGTAGCAAGTAGTAGCCACCTCGCGTACCATTGTATCCGTCAGCTGCTGATGGTCGTTTACGTCCATCTCCCATGGCGGTAACGATCGTGATGATAATTCCGCTTCGAATCTGCCTCTACATTCATTGTCATGGAGCTTGGCTTGGTTTAATCGAAGTCGTGCTTGACCCTTCTCAGTCTCGCGAATGATCGTGTGCTTGAACGTCGCCATCACGGGTATATGGTCAATGGTGTCCGTGTAAGTGTCTATGGAGTAGTCAATCTGGCATGGTGTACAGTACCCATGGAAAACATCGTTGGGAGCCACATGGTCGTTTTTATGCAGTGTGCCGACGCTGCTGACATACGTATGTCCTGAAGCTTCTTCGTAGAAAGTCGATTCCGCATACAACTTGTGGTCAAGTATAGCCTGTCGCATAAGATGCCCTGGAAGATCGTCTTCATCTTGCGTACACTCTTCTTTGAGGAAACCACCAATACCTTCGTGACTGCCCTGTCGTAGTGTAGTACGAGGTCGCTGGCCAAGGTGTGCATTGAGGTCGCCCAGAATCATAGTGGGAGGCCATTTCATCAGAAACTCGTCAAACTGGCTCCACCATTTCTTGTAGTCCAATGTAGGGTGCCCCAGGTTGACTGCGTGGGCAATGTGCACCATCTCATGCTCGCCAAAGACTCGTACCTTGCAAATAAGGAGGCGCTCGCTAGAATGTAATACTCGGACGTCAGACTTCTTGAAATATCTTGGCCCAGCAGGTCCCGACCCATAGGGCTTCACCGTGTCAAGTAGCAGCGCACATCCAAGCTTCCGCTTCCCGCCTGTCCCGATGGTCAGGTATCCGTCAAGTACCGCAGCATCTGCTGGTGCAGGTGCTTTTTGGCAGCCTACGATATGTAACCCTTGCTCACGAAACTGGCAACGAAGAAGTTGGGCCCGCATCGGTTGTACTGGGTCTCCTGTGTCACCCATTGCCCCCGTTCGCTCGCCTGGACCTCTGGCGCCTCCCCTCCTCCCCTCGGTTGCAGCGGGACTGCCACGGACCTCTGGGCCCCCCGCCTCTTTGGCGCGGACTCCACGCCTGGTGGGGTGTGCGCTCGCCGTGGCTCTTCTGGGCCTGGAGTTGGTCCTGCGTCCTCCTCCTCCTCCTCCTCCTCCTCCTCCTCCTCCCTCCTCCTCCCTCCTCCTCCTCTTCTCATCCTCCTCTTCTCCTTCTCCTCCTCCTCCTCCTCCCTGCGTCCTACTTGGGGCCCAGGCTCCCCCAGCTCGGGGGCGCCCGCCGCCCCGATCGTGGCCGGACGGCGGGGGGCCCGGCCCGGCCGTCCGCACCGTGGCGACCCCCCAGCGATGGCAGCGACGGCGACGACGACCACCGTGACCCGGACATCGACCGCGACCTATCGCTATCGCTATCGCTATCGGCTCGATGTCCAGTTGGACGCAGCCGTCCGCGCGGCCGAAGCTACGCGCGCGCGCCCGAGGCGCGTGGGGGGGGGTCACCCCCCGACACATGCTCCCGCCAGAGGGGCGGGGGCCGAAAAGGACCGAGAAAACGGGCCCAGGAGTTTCGGGGACGAGGAAGGAGGAAGAGGGGGCTCATTAAAGGCCTGAAGAGGAAGGGAAAAAAACCCCGTGACGGCCTGCGCGCAGGCGGCGGCCCGCCGGCGGCGGCTCGGTTCGGTCAGGCCTGAACCGAGTCCTCCCCCCCCTCGCCCTCGAGGGGGCGTCCAGGATGGGGCTGGCGGCCTCCGTGAGCACTGCGGCCGTCTTGCCGTGGTGGGCGCCTGTCTCGATCGTCTTGGGCCATGTTACGGCCAGATCGGGTCGTCGGATCAGCGGCTGCTGTCCGACCAAGCTGGGGCAGACTGCCCAAAATGGAGGTGACGAAGTCGTCGAGGGGATTACCGTGGTCCTGGGAGAGGCCGAAGTAGATGGCGTAGAGGCTGCTGGCGTCGTCTATGATGGTCGGTCGTCTCGTAGCAAGGTTCTCCGTAGCGTAGAGCATCATCTCAGTATTCCACATCACTGACGGACCTGCTGGGGCTGAGGATTGCGCTAGTAGTGCTGGTACTTCGGCGACGTGCGCCGCGTGGAAGGTGTGGATGGCGAGGCGGGCGTGGTGGTTCGCAATCAATCGGCGTTCGGCTGCCTCACCTCCAAGGTTTACTCTGCCCCAGGGGTCCGTGGTCGTTCTGGAAGATGCTGCCGTTCTGTCGGGCGGGTCGCCATCGACTTGGTCGATCCACGTGCTGGGTGAGAGGTTGATCATCACTCCAGCAAAGTCGCCTTGTCGTATGTGCTGGTGGAGCGAGTCGAGGGCGTCGTACTGAGATGGGTGGTCGACAGAGTAGAGGTCATCGAAGGTCAGAGTAACCCGTTCCATCACCATTCCATTGTAGCATAGTCGTTGGTCCGTAGTGTCGAGCAGATCGTTCGGGTGTCTGTCAATGTTGGTGAGGTAAAGCAGAGATCTGTTTCTGGTCGGTGTCCGAGGGTAGTAGGCTGGTGGTGGTGGTGTAATCGCTGGTACCGTCGGGAAGAATGGCGGTGGTGATGGTGAAAGGTCAAGGGAGGGTAAGGGAGTGACGTCGGATGCGTGGGCAGGGATAGGGTGGTATAGTTCGGGGCGGCCTCTGCGTTTGTTGTCGGCTATGCTGGCTGCGTAGGTCGCCTGATTGGTGGCCACGTCCTCTTCCGTGAGGGCAGGCCCTTGTAAATACCACAGGTGCCAAGACCGTCGGCAGCGGGCGACCGTAGTTAGATGCTTCACGAGCTTGGCGAAGGAGTGGAAGTTCTTGCGGCATATTCTGCACGATGTACCCGATGCCCAGTTTCGCGGATGCTCAGGTCGTCGGTGTTCACGTCCGATATGTATTGCCATGCCCTGCTTGGTCTTGGTAACGATTCCACACTCGTAGCAGATGAAGTTGCTGGCGCCGTTGTCGCGTGATGGCGTGGGGTCCGCACCAATGGGACCGTCGGGTCTGAGCACCTTGGTCAGCTTGTCGGCGTGGGCGCGGTCTTTGGATGCGCGGATGTAGTTTGTGACAGCCAGGTTGACGGAGTTGCTGAAGTGCTTCGGCGTGGCGCGTGCCCATGCAAAAACGTCGGAGTCGAGCTTGCTGGTCGTGGGCCAGCGCTGGTCGTCCAGGTATGTGCGCAGGAAGTCGAAGTCCTGGAAAAGCATGTATGTCCATGAGCCCTTTCTCCGTCGCTGGTTGTCAAGCAGTTGGAGGAGCTGCTGAGGAGCGTATCGTAGAAGCCGTGGTAAGTATCGCAGCCTTCCAGCAGACTGGTGGTGGTCGAAGTCGGGGATGCCAGTGTAGGCTACTACTTCGGTGGCCGTGAAATGATGAAGCTGCGAGTTAGCTTTGGGTATTCCAGCTGCCGTGCGATAGGGCTTCGAGTAGGCATTGGAGATGCGCTGGTGGTCAGTCTGGGTCAGTGCTGGCCAGACGTGGTGGTTGAAGGTTAATGAGGCAGTCGAGAGGGCGTGCACGTACTTGATCTTTGTTTTGCGGGGTAGGCGTCGACGTCGTAGGATTTGCCTCTCAAGAGCTCGTGCCGAAGCGTCGGTTCGTCGCATGCGATTCTGCACCTCGGGGCCCATGCTGCCGCTGGTGAGGATGGTGCCTAAGAGTCGGTGCTGGTCTGTGATCTGGACCGAGATCGACATGATGCTCAGCTGGATTGATGTAATGTTCTGCTGTGCAAGCCTACTGCGTGCGACGTTGGATCCCGTCCCGTTAAAGGAGAGGATGACCTTGGTCTTGTCTGGGTGTGGCTTGAGCCCGTAGGTGAATGCTGTACGGCATAGTCGTTCGGCTGAAGTTCTCGTAATGTCAATGATGTCGGAGTGGCGGGTGGTCGAGTTGAAGTCGGTGAGGTCATCGACGAAGGACATGTTGGTCAGCTTGCCGCCGTGATGAGGAGCCGTAGAGAAGAGCGGGTTGTCGCAGGGGCGGATGTGGTGGCCGCTCTCGCCGTCTTCTGCCCCATCGGTGTCGTCGGCGATGGCCTGAAGCACTAGGGAGAAGTGCATGTTGAAAGCCGCGTCGGAGTATGGCACCCCTGGCCTGGTACTAGTGCGAGGGATCACGTATGCGTCGGTGCCCTTAGCGGTCATCCAGTTGGCCGTGTGGTGGTCGGCAACGAGGGCGCAGAGGTGAGAGTCGTCGACGTGGGCGTTGAGATGTGCTGGACAGCGAAGGCGTTGTCGTAGAGAGGGAAGAAGGCAGATGGGAATCTCGATGTTGTCGATGACGTCTTCGAGCTCGTCCTCCTGAGTCGGCAGCTGGAAAATGAACTCCCTGATTACCGAATGGAAGGCTTCTTTCAAGTCCAGGAAGAGGATGCTGCCCGTGCGAGCCTGCGTACGGCAGTCGTCTAAGAAGGTGTAGGCGGTGTGAGTGATGAAGTCAGTCGCCTTGTGAGGGACGGCGCCGCATTGTGTGTCCATAAGCAGGTCGGGTAAGATGTCGCGGAAGAGGCCTCTCAGGAACTTGCTGTTGATCTTGCCAATAGTGTTGTTCAGGAGGATGCCCCTGTAGGCTTTCTGCAGATGAAGCTGTCCTTGTCCTTTGGAGAAATGGGTGGAGAAGCCGCCCTTCGCCGAAATGGGCTCCGTCGTCATCAGCTGCATCTTCATCATGATGGGGTGCAGAAGTCGGGCCATCTGGCGCGGCGCTGCTCGTGCCATGTCGTCGGCGTTCCCGTCGGGCCCGCCGCGTCTGCCTTTCTTGGCGGCTGCCAGGGCGGATGTCAGGTTGTGGATGGTCTGGACGTTGTCGATGTGGGGGATCGGCTTAGTGTGCGCAGTCTTGTTGTTGTAGTACTTGACGACGCCTTCGATGTCGGTGTTGATGCCGTTCTCGATGTTGCCGTAGTATCGAAGGGCGTGCTCCGCGATGGCTTGTGGCGTCGTGAGTGGAGCGCCGTCATCGTCTCGGCGTATTTTGGGAGTCGGAGTTCTCTTAGGTGCACGGCCGCCGTATGTGAGTAAGGCCCTCACGCTTGCCCATTCCTGCCGAGGGGCATTCCCTGCTGCTGATAATATCATGTTGTCGGAGAAGCGCTCGAGGTGGGCGTCGCGGTCGTGGTCGAGGCGGTTTCTGAGAGCGCGGTCGGTATCTTGGATGAAGCTCATGTATGAGTCGAAAAGATCAGTAGTGAAGGTGGTTGTGCAGGAGGTGCTGTCGTGGTGTGGAGCCGTGGTATGGTCGGGGTCCGCGTGGTTGATGAAGAGGATGGTCTTGATCATCAACTTGGTGTATCCAGGGATGTCCAGGAGGTGGATGACGTCGTCAGGGGACGCTGAAGCCGACTGGTTTGCGATGAGGTGCGCGGTGTATCGGATCCGTCTGCGTGATTTCTTGGAGCCAATGCCATTCCTTTTCACTATGCGGATCGTCTTGAGGAGGGTGCGTCGGAATCGAAGAAGCGCGTAGGAGGCCTCGGTAATGTAGGGCTTGCGGGGGGCATGATGCTGCTTCTTGAAGCTGGCGTAGGCTGCGTCCTTTATCTGATCGACGATGCTCTTAGTATGGTCGTTGAGGTTGGTCTCCCAGGGAGGGTGTTGGATCTGCTGCAGGCGTCGTTGAAAGTCGTTCTTGGCTGTCTCGGAGTCGAGCTTAGCGATGTCGAGCTTGGGCGTGCCGTGTTGGTAGGCGGTCTCGACGGTGTAGGCGAGGTTGGCCTTGACAGGGAAGTGGTCGTTCTTGTGTGAGTGGTCGTCTACTGTGTCGATGCCGTACATTACGGACGTGTAGGAGATGGAGTCGAAGAGCTCGTGGCCAACCACTATGTAGTCCAGTCTGTGCACGTCCTTGCCTGAGTCCCAGGTGTAGTGGTCCTGGCCACCGCTTTTGAAGGTATTCGCGGCGATGAGAGAGTTACCTTGCAGGACCTTGTGGAAGCGTTCGCCGTTGTCGTCCTCCTTTTGCTTGAAGCCTTGATCGCCGATTGCCTGGCTGCATAAGCTGCCCGTTCGAGCGTTTGCGTCGATGAAGAAGATGTTGATATTGTGGTTAGAGGTTGCGCACTCGATCATCTCCCAGAAGGTATCCTTCTCGTGTGGCGTGGCTCGTGAATGTGGTGCATGGGCGACGCAGACTGTGTGTCGAAAGCCTGGGGCTTCGATCCTTACTATGAGGTGCCGAGGGCTGTGCTCGGTGACACGACCGCGACCTCCGCGACCTCCTCCACCTCCCTCCCTCTCTCCCTCCCTCCCTCCTCTTCCTCCTCCCTCCCTCCCTCCCTCCCTCCCTCCCTCCTCCTCCTCCTCCTCCTCCTCCTCCATTTCCTCCTCCATCTCCTCCCTCCCCCTCCTCCACCTCCTCCCCCTCCTCCACCTCCTCCCTCTCTTCCTCCTCCTCCTCCTCCTCCTCCTCCTCCTCCTCCTCCTCCTCCATTTCCTCCTCCCTCCCTCCCTCCCTCCCTCCCTCCCTCCCTCCCTCCTCTCCTCCTCCTCCTCCTCCTCCTCCTCCTCCTCCTCCTCCTCCTCCCTCCTCCTCCTCCTCCTCCTCCTCCACCGCGATGATCATGGCGACCGCCGTCGGCGGCGGCTGTGGCGGCGCTGACCTCTGCCTGCGCCGACGAGGACGAAGGCGACCACGGTCAGCAGTCTCGAAGCATACCCCTGTCCCGAAGATCGACATCCCCCCGAATTATCTCGGTGCCGATCTTGAGGACCCCTCCAAGTTTTTCAGTGCACATCCCTAAGATTGTCATCGCACTGGGCTTCATAACCTCAGGGATAACCTGAGGGACAGCAACAATAGTTACCCCCTAGTGGTGGGACCCCAGTCCTTCAATAACGGCGCCGGAAAATATTTAGTTACCCCCTATGTGGGGGGTCTAAAAACCTTTCAGGATCAGGGATGAGCTCGAAGCTAGCTCGACGACGACGGCGCCCGCGCAGGGCCGTGGACCACAGCGGGCGCCCGCACGAGCGCCACCACCGCATGGCGGCGCGGCCGGCGGCTGCCGCCGTCGCCGCCGAGAATCGAGAGTCGAGTGTCGAGGACCGAGATGTCGAGGGGCGAGAGTCGAGGGTCCAGGATCGAGGTCGAGCGTCGAGGGTCGAGGATCGAGATGTCGGGGGACGAGGGTCGAGGGTCCAGGGTCGAGGATCGAGGATCGAGGCGTCGGGGGACGAGGGTCGGCGGCCTGGAGGACGGCACCAACATCAGTCTCGGCGGTGCGATTCCACCGAGGGAGGCCGATTCCGATCCTGGAGGTGGCCGCTTCGTAGGCGGCCGACGGATGACCACCGGCACTACAGTCGGACCGAGGTATGAGGTCGAGGTCGGCTCGGGGAGGGTGCCCTAATGTTCTTCGTGCTTGTTGGATGTTCTTGTGCGCCCTGGGGATGGTACCCTTGGATGTTCTGCGCGTTCCCGCCGGCGGAGGGTCCACGTTCTTGAGGGACGTTCTTCTGGCCCAGGTCTGACAGTAAGTCGGGCGTATCCCTCTGGACAGGAGGACAGGAAGAAGCCGCGCCCAGACGGCGTATCGGCACAAACTGGATTGGAAACGAGGGCCGGAAAGATGTGCAGGAAATTATGCGGAAGGTACGCGCGCCGGGTCGCATCCACTGTTCATTGACCAGCTCTGGGCGGCGGGTACAACTACACTCGCACATCGCACATTGAACATGCAAAGGTGGGCGTATCCCTCTACAGGGGGAATACTCAGAGATCGTCAAACAAAGTAGTAGTGGGGCAATCTGTCGGCTATAATTGAGTATTGTTTTGAATATTTGTGGGGTAGTCTTTTTTTCATTTCATCCGAAATCCGCCTGTAGGAGGACATGCCCGACCGAACGCCAGCGCCGAATCTGGAATCATGTTCCCCCGGCGGAGACCTGTCTTGGGCACGTCGACCTCCCCTGTGAGCGGCGATGCTGGCCCCGTTGGGCCGCAGGACTCTGACAGGAAGAGGCTTAGGATCGAAGAAGAACTTTCGACGCGCCGCGCGGACTTTTTGGATTTGCGCTGGGGCCCCCCGGTTGCGCGTCCGGCGGCCGCCCCTGGCGCGCTCCGCGCGCCAGGAAGGGGGGCCCAGCGCGAATCCCAGAAATCCGCGCGGACCGTGGAAAAGTTTAGGATTCGGTGGTTCTGTCATTCCTCTACAGGGGGAAGATAGACAGATCCAGGCTCCACAGCAGGGCAGGACCTGAACGGTGTTTTGGCGATTTCGTGGGCCGTTTTCGTTTCGATTTCGTTTTGCGGTAAAGGCGAATCGAGGACAAAACGAGGGAAAACGAAAACAAAACGAAACCGAAAAAATCCGCTGAGGCTCAGCCCTGCTCCACAGCGGCTCAAGATCGAGGACGCTCGCAGGGCGTGCCAGGCCGGGACGCTCCAGGCTGGCCGCGGCGCCCGACGCGTCCTCCAGTCCCGCGTCCATCTCTGCCTCAAAAGTAGTCTTGGGACGATGTTTTGAGTATTTTGGGGTATGTTTTTTTAAAAATTCGTCCAAATCCGTCTGTAGGGGGACATGCCCGACCTAAGCCTTGTGACGTCGTCTTATCTGGGACCGAAGTCCTCCTCCTCCTCCTCTTTTTCTCCTCCTCCTAAGTCGCTATATAAGTCGTTGTGGGTCCCGAAATCGCTTGCGTGGACCCCGCAATCGCTATATGAATATCCCGTTGGTCCCGAAGTCGCTATATAAGTATTCCGTGGGTCCCGTAATCGCTATATAAGTATTGCGTAGACCCCGAAATCGCTATAGAAGTATTGCGTGGACCCCGACCCGCCGCCGCTTCACCCAAATATTCGAGGCGCCTGCTCCCGGACCTCAGAGTTCTTTCCCTGGGACCTGCTCCTTCCCCTCCTCCATCATCCTTCCTCTTCCTGTTCTGGTCTGGTGGGAGGGAGGGAGGGAGGAAGGGAGAGGGAGAAGGGCTCCTCAATCCAAGGGGACAGGGTCGAGAGTCCCGGCCAACGCCACAGCCCGACGACCAGAGCACACCCGAGCGCAAAGTTTCGTTTTGCCGTCCTCCTCGTCCTCCTCGTCCTCCTCCTCCTCCTCTTCCTGCTCCTCCTCCTCCTCGTCCTCGTCCTCCTCCTCGTCCTCCTCGTTCACCTCGTCCTCCTCGTCCTCCTCCTCCTCCTCCTCGCCCAGTTCCTCTTCCTCCTCCTCCTCCTCCTCCTCCTCCTCCTCCCACTCCTCCTCGTCCTCCTCCTCCTCCTCTTCCCGCTCCTTCTCCTCATCACCCTGCTCCTTGTCCTGCTCCTCGTCCTCCTCCTTCCCCTCGTCCTCCTCGTCCTCCTCGTCCTCCTCGTCCTCCTCATACTCCTCGTCCTCCTCGTCCTCCTCGTCCTCTCCTCCTGCTCCCTCTCCTCTCCTCCTCCTCCTCCTCCTCCTCCTCCTTCTCCTCCGCCTTCTCCTCTTCCTCCTCCTCCCTCTCCTCGTCCTTCCTCCTCCCTCTCCTCGTCCTCGCCCTCCTCCCTCCCCCCGTCCTCGTCCTCCCCCTCCTCCTCCTCATCCTCCCCTTTCTCCCCCTCCTCCTCCTCTTCCTCCTCTTCCTTGAGTCTGTCTTGGGCCGTCTAGTTTCGCAAGCTCCGTGGACGTCTCTATTGTTCGAGGATGTCTCTAGCGAGAACCCCATTTTGAACGGAAGACGCCTTGAAGCAGCTCGTCCGACATCACATTGTTCTGATGATGTCTCGCGCGGGAGCCTCATTTTCTAAAAGTTCCTTCGATTCCGCAAGATCATTGTACATCTAGGTGTTTCGAGGATGTCTCGATCGAGAGCTTCATGTTTAACGTAAGACGTATTAAAACAACTCCGTCACGACTTCTGTGTTCGAGGATGTATCGAGCGAAACGGCCATGTTTGATATTTGGCTCGGTTTCGGAAGCGATCTCAACATCTCCATTGTTCGAGGATGTCTCGAGCGAGAGCCTCGTTGTTAACGCAAGACTTCTTAAAACAAAGCCTTCAACATCTCACTGATTCGAGGATGTCTCTAGCGAAACGGCCGTTTTAGGGGGAACCTTTCCTGACAAGAACGGGAAGCGTCGTTTCTCTGAGTTTGCGTGCGCACGCGCAGGGATTTGCACACAGCGTGGAACGTGTGCACATGGGGTTGGCCGTCGCTGGGCTTCCCTAAACGCCCAGATGGTTGCCATGAGTAGCTTGTGTTGAGTGGTTGCCTTTGGTTGGTTTGGTCAAGTGTTGCGCGTGGCCTGTATCCGTGTGTGCGTGTGTGTGCTTTGTGTGTGCGCTGCAGGTGCGTGTGCGGCTGTGTGCGTATGTGTGCCTGCGTGTGTGCGTGTATGCAGTATATGTTCTGGGGGGGGGCTGGGACGGGGGGGGGGGGCGGTGTGCGTGCCAGGTGTGTGCTGGGCGGGCGGGCGGGGGGGGGAGTACGGTGGGCGTCCGTTTTAAACCGCATGGCCGTTTTAGCCCGCCTGGCCGTGGAACGCTACCTAGATCAAGCGTGGCCGTTTTAACCCGCGTGGCCGTTTTAACCTGCGTGGTCGGTTTAATCCGCATGGCCATTTTTTACCCGCCTGGCCGTGGAATGCTACCTAGATTATCCGTGGCCGTTTTAACCCGCGTGGCCGTTGTAAGCCGCGTGGCCGTTTTAGCCCGCATGGCCGTTTTAACCTGCTTGGCCGTGGAATGCTACCTAGATCCAGCGTGGCCGTTTTAACCCGCATGGCCGTTTTAATCCGCGTGGTCGTTTTAACACGCATGCCGTTTTAACCCGCCCGAGTGTGGAACGCTACTACCTAGATCATATTCGACCGAGTTGGCGATCGATCTGAACAACTCCAGTTTCCGAGGATGTCTCGAGCGAGAGCCTCACATTCAACATTAAAACGTCTTAAAACAATTGTTTCAACATCCCCGTTTTTCGAGGATGTCTCAGGCGAAACGGCCGTTTCCGAATATTCGGCCGATTTCGCGACCGATCTGAACAACTCCATCTTCCGAGGATGTCTCGAGCGAAAGCCTCACTTTCAACACTAAGACGTCTTAGAACAACTGTTTCAACATCCCCGTTGTTCGAGGATGTCTCAGGCGTAATAGCCATT